TCCACATGAGTAAGACATAGCTTATCCTGATGCTTCTGGTGCTGACAGATCCCCAGAACCTTCTTTTGGTCCAACCCTCCCACTTGAATGTGGCATCCCTAGCCTAAGCTCCAGTTCTGTGAGTCCCAGGGGATGATTCGTGAGAAAAGGATCTCCTGTCTTTCCCCTTATTCTGAAACTGCTTTACTGAGGAAATTTCCTGACCATGCCCATCTTCCACAGGCAACAAAAAATGTCTGTACACTAAGCACTGACATGATACTAAGCAATAAACACTAAGTAATCATGTAATGTGGCAATGGCATAAAAACAGAATAAGAGACTAATGGGACAAAGAGACAGTGCCCAGAACACACCCACGTCTATTTGGGAACTTAATATACAATAAGTGTCACCATAAATCAATGAGAGAAGGATGGATTTTTAGCAACTGATGTTAAGAAAGTGGCTCATTCTGAGGAGATCCCTACTTAATAGCAGAAAAGATGGACTCCACATGACTTAAAGAGCTAAACATGAAAGTGAAAACAATATATTTAATAGAACAAAGAGTAGAAGAATGAATGTCTTTGTGACTTAGGGCATGGGGAAGGACTGCTTCCTTCAAATTAGCAAAAAAAAAAAAAAAGATGCCAACTCATTAAAAAATGGGCAATGGATCTAAAGAGGGAGCTTTCTAAAAGAGGAAACTCAAAAGGCTAACGAACATAGTGAAGAGATTCTCAGACTCATTAGTTACCCAGGGAAATGTAAATCATGACAAGAATGACATTACACTTGCAACCTAATAGACTTGGCAAAATGTAGAAGACTGGTAATGCCAAGGGTTGGCAGGAATACAGGAAGATGCATGAGTGTGGGAATGAGACAAACAAAGTCATCTGGAGACTAATCAGTCAAATGTAAGTAAATGCACACCCTCCACCCCATGACTCCATTTCTGGGGAGACAACCAAAAGCAGTAACACATGGGTAAGTCCAGAAGCAGACATGGATGACGGTATTCTCTATGCTGTAGTTCCTAGTCAGGAGGAGCAGGGCTTGGGGCCAGGAGTACTTTATAATTCATTGCAATCATGGACTAGAAGTACACTAATATGAATGAGTCATAAAGAGTGTTAGTGAGAAAAGTGAAACAGGAATGAAGTATAAAATACCATTTATAGTAAGTCATATATATATGGGTGTGTGTGTGTGTGTGTGTGTGTGTATCCCAAAATGATAGTACACATTCTAGAACACTTACAGATTAAAAGTTATGTATAGAATACATTGGAATGGTGGCTCAAGGGCAGAGGTGAGGGACGAACAGATAGGGGTGAGAACAGAAAGACAGAAGAGAATAGCAACAGGCCTCACATGGGAAAACGACCATGATAGGCCATGAATTAAGAAGTGGGACTCATTCAGCTTTAATTAGCACCTGAGATTTTTCACAACAAAATACTGCAAAGTAAAATTCCATCACATGGCTATGCAGTTCTATACAATTTCTGTAAGCTCTTAAAACTAGTATCTTCACTTAAACAGGATAATGTCAGCAACTTAGGACATTACTCAGTTAAGTCTACTGTTTTGAGAATCTAATTATACCTCTGTTTCTAGACATAAGACAAAGTATCGTCAAAGGGAATTAAACAAAAGAAATAGATTTATCAATTCACAGGGCTGCAAATTGCTTAGACCTAGAACTAAAAGGCAGACACACATGAGCTATGGAGCACAGCTGCTGCACTGGGCTGCAAGAGACAGCAGTAACATGAGGTCATGAGGTTGGAAAAAGATTTTTTTTTTTAAAGATTTTATTTATTTATTTGACAGAGATCACAAGTAGGCAGAGAGGCAGGGAGAGAGAGAGAGAGGAGGAAGCAGGCTCCCCGCTAAGCAGAGAGCCTGACAAGGGACTTGATCCCAGGACCCTGGGATCATGACCTGAGCCAAATGCAGAGGCTTTAACCCACTGAGCCACCCAGGCACCCGGAAAAAGAATTTTTTAAATTTATTTTTATTTGACAGTGACACAGAGAGAGAGCACAAGTAGGCAGAGGGGCGGGCAGAGAGAGAGGGAGAAGTAGGCTCTCCGCCAAGCAGGGAGCCCAATGTGGGACTCAATCCTGGGACTCCAGGATCATGACCTGAGCTGAAGGCAGTCGCTTAACCAACTGAGCCACCCAGGCGTCCCTGGAAAAAGATTCTTAAACACCGTGAAATGCCCAGTATTTTGGAGACTTGGCCTGGAAACAAAGTCTGGGATTCTGACCAGCATAGCCATCCACATAACATGTTGGTGAGTCTTTTTACAACAGAATATGAGGAACCCAGGTAGATTTAAAACTCCCAGGTGGATGCTTTGACATTGCAGATGCTTTGGGTTTCATAGTGTAGGTTTAGCAGTTGTGAACTGGCCCGGAGCTTGGGATAGGAGGAAAATTAGTGAAAAAATGTCCGTGTCCTAGCCTCAGACCCACACAAATTCTGCTGCTGTCTCCATTATCTGCAGAAGCCCATGTGATAGAGCTAAGAAAAACTCCTTCCTCCACTGAGACATCTACCTTCAGTTCTTTGGTAAATTGTTCCCAACAATCAAAAGAGAAACAACAGCAATGAAACAAAACAAAAGAAAATCTCTTCCCCTCTCTTACTACTCCTTTCTAAAATCTTCCTCTAGTTCATCCAAACCCACTTCCCTGCCTTTGAGGGCATAGCCTGACTCCTGACTTCTAGCCTCCAACAGCATTTTCCATCCCTGCTGCACATGAAATAACGGTTTCCTATATTGTGGAAATACTGTGCCCGGTCAAGAACGTTTAAAAGACATGAACATTGCCTAAGTATCTTAATTCAAAATGTCTTTAATTTTGAGAAATCTTCAAGATACTGAAAAGGAGCTATCAGAAGTTCAAAGCGGAGATGGGAAGTCATTTAGGCAATTCATGTGAAGTGTCAAATTCTGTTAGTAGTCTATTCAATGGATTTGTCTTTCCATTCTTCTTAGGGTTTTACCATTTGCCTTGTTGCCATGCAGGGTACAAAGTACAGAAACGCATTGTTTCTGTAAGATTCTAGGATAAACTTTTTCCCAACTCTAAAGCGTTTGGCTCTAGAGAACACGAGGTCACATACAGAGATGTTACGGTCTCTGACAGAATCAGCAGTCTGTGGCTCCATTTGTAAGGAGGAGACGAGTAAATCTTCATTGATTAGAGGTGTTTGCCAGAAAAAACACTGTCTCTTCAGGTGTGAACAATGGACACTCTATCATCTCTTGTTGCCCCAGTTGGTAAGGTCAAAACTAAATTCTATGGCAACTTAACTCGTCTCAGACTCTGGTACATTCAGTTCTCTGTGTTTTGGGGGGTAGGGGGAGAAGGGGAATGTGTTTTTGTAGCGAAAGCCCCTGCATGGATCTTAGTAGGATTCATCTGAGTATTCAGGCTTGTCAGGGGTCTTGGGGAGGAGGGTAGAAGGGAAGAGCCACGAAGGGTGTCATTCCATGAAGAACTGAGGTGGTGCTGAGAAGGAACTGGAAGGGAAGTGTACAAATTGGTTCAGTGATGATGTGTCAACAAAAACGAGGCCCTTTAGGCCCTGTGATCTCTGACCCTACGAACATTCCTTTGAGTTCTAGTGCTAGGGACAATTCTTAATCTACCGAGCTTACATTCATTCTTTCCAATGAATTTTGGTGAGCCGTGCATCATAGAAAAGGAAGGAAAACTGAATTTGAAAACTTTATATATAAAGGAACTCCATTTTTGTATATGGAAAGTCAGATTTCTTGAGAAAACCAATTCATGTATGACATAATTATGTTCCTTTACAAAGTGACTTTTTATTTTCAGAATATAAAAGATAACTAAAATTAATCTAACTCTGTCTTGTCATGATTTTAGTTTGCAACTGGAATATTGCAGTCAAAGTTTCTAACAAGTTACACCACTAAATTGTTACTTTTCCTTTGTCTTCTGGTCAAAGAGCAGGCATAAAATTATATTCTCTTCACTGGCTTAGGACTTGAAAAATCTCATTGAAAATTATAGTAAGATATTTAAAATATACAGCTTCATCTAAATTTTTTTTTGTTGTGGGGATGAATGATTTTCAAATATTGATAGTACTAAGAAAATTGAGATGACCAACTGTGTTGCTTTATAACTATCGAATAATTACACCAGCTAAAAAAGAATATGAATATTCACATCAAGTACATTCACTAACATAAATGCGCTTGTGGTGAAGAGTTAGGATTACATGTTCATGTTGGACTGGGGTGGAAACAGAATAGGCAGTCATGGGAGTCGACTTCTTTTACACTTGGTAGCTTTGGACATCCTTCCTAAGGAGTTCATTTACTTTATTAGCAGGGGACATTTTTGGCTTTGACCATATCTGGGGGCTCTGAGGTAGTTAAAGGATATTTATAGGATCTCAGTAATTAGGACCCTCATGAACATTATTTACAGCAAACCCGATGCGGTGGGGGGAATCTCCAGCGGCTGCCTGGCCCTTAGGCCTAAACATCCTTGCAGCCACCTCTGGGTGGGTGTGGGACACCTTCTGGGCAATGAAAGGGCAGGATGGGGTTTGTATCCATGCATGTGGGCTACATGCTTCCCTGAGACCTTGAGGATAGAGGCTACCCTACAATATGATTTCCAAAAACTGTCTGCAGCAAGAACATAAGATCTATGTTACGATGAGATGAAGTGGAATTTTTCAAAGGCCCAGAACATAAGGGTGTTTCCAAGTTTTTCAAAGTTTGCGAAAGAATAAACATGAGATGATGAATAACATGCTCCGCTCGAACTGTTTTTGGGAGCCCTCTTTTGGACATATTATCATTCATATTATTAGCCATGCAAACAGACTTCCCTACCTCCAGTTTTCAAAAAGACTATCTGATTCTGTTTTAGTGATTTTAGATGCTATTACTTATTATCCTTTAATCAATCAATCAATCAACCAACAAGTTATAAGAGCATTTAAATATCCAATCTTACTTTTATCTGGACAATTTTAACTTCATCAAAGCTTATATTGGTAAGAGATTTCTTCGTCTGGCCTCTCCGGTGTCCAAATTTACACTTATTTCTCATCACTTGTTCGTCATCTTCTATGGGTCTCCGAACATATTTAAAGCGATCTTTGAGAGCTCGTTTCCATAAAAACTGCATAAATTAATAGAACAGGACAGTTAATCTTCAAGGAGACTGGAATAATCCCACATAAACAATAAAATCTTCATCACTCTTGGATTGAAGTTATTTTCACATCACAGTAATAGAAATAATAGAACTATCCTTCCACTTACCTTCACGATGGTCTTGTGATACTTCTATAAAAGCTATAATCCCTAAATCATAACTAAGGAAAGAGACTCAGAACAATAAAAATATTTCCCCAATGCCACCTAGTTATTGAGTGAAAAATCTGGATTTTCTGATTTCCAAAATTGGATGTTTTCTACCATACTTTGCTGTCTCCACAACACATTCCACTCTTCCACTGGGATCTAGAGAAGGACTGATACTGTCTTATGCTTATATGGATGGATGCATTTTCTTAAAAACAATGTTTCTGTCATCCCTTGAAATTCACGTTGGTGAATACTGTTGGCATTCATTCATCTACATATTTGTAGAGCATCTACTGTTTCAAACACAAAGACCAGGATCCTGCCCCGGGAGGGAGAGGGAGCATAGGTAGACCCCATCTAGCAGAGGGATGAGTAATTTAAGTTCAGAAAGAAAAGTGTTATAACAGGGGAAGAGACAGCATTATCTTACATTGTGTTGGGAGACCATAGAAACCTTCCTGAAGGAGGTACACCTAAGCTGAGATTTAGATGTTAAGGTTTGAAAACAAATGGGGTGGGGGGGGAGAACAATGGAGATGGCACTGGGAAATGCCAGGTAGGGGGAAGCATGGATAGAAGTTCCAGATAAAGCAGTCTGTGCCATGGAGCAGAGGGATAGCCTGTGCCACTTGGTGAGCTGCCAAGAGCTGTGCATGGCTGGAACATGGAGTTTAAGATGGGCCAGAAGAGAATGGGCCAGAAACTGAGGCAGGAGAAGCCAGCCCCATCCTGAAAAGCACGGTTACCCCATAACGGAGCTTCGCTGCAATCGAGAACCAGATCTTTTTAAACCTCTCTCCGTGGAAAGACTACATCAGTATCTCAGAGGGAACTTTCATCTTGGTTCTTCCTCTAAAGCAGTGGTTCTCAAACTTTAACCTGAATCATAGTTCCTGGAGGATCTGTTAAAACACAGGTTGCTGAGGCTGCTTCAGAGCCGCTGGTTGGGAAGGTCAGGGATAGGGCTGAGAATCTGCATTTCTTACAGGTTCCCAGGTGATGCTGATGCTGCTGGCCCAGACCCTCAGATTTCTGATTCCGTTGGTCTGAGCAGAGCCAGGATGTCTGTATTTTTCAAGGCTTTATGGATAATCCAGCTACAGAGCCAGGCTATGAAGTCCTCCTAGGCCACTAGAGAGAGGAGACCAGATGGTCAGGTCTGGGCTCCGGAAGAATCTGTCTGCCATGTGGTGTTTGGGAGATCAAAGACATGGGCAACAGCTGAGGGACACAACCGGGCTTTCTCAACAAAACAACACTGTCTTCCTCTGCTGGGCCTTTGGTTCTGGCCTGGAAAGCTCTATTCCTCTCCTCCCTGGCCCTGCTGGTATCTAGTTAACTCTTGCTCTGCCTCCAGAGCTCCGCTCTTGTCCTCTGGTTATCGGCTCTCACCATTCCTTGTCTGTACTTACCACACGGGGAGTTTACCTTCATGTGAGTGATGTGTTTCTGCTTCTGTGCTTTTCTATTCTGTTCTTTTCATTCTTCCTCTCTCCATTCTTCCCCGCTTACTTGCTATCTGCCTTCCCTCCCTGCCCCTCCTTCCTTCCCTCTTTATTTCCTTTCCTTTCACTTATCTATAAGCACAAGAAGACAGGCTTGTGTCTGCACCGGGCCTGCTGCATCTGGGAAACTATAAATATTGGATGTCTTGTGTCAGTCCTCTGTGAGGTAGAGGGACCCACGTGTGGAAGCAACAGACTAGAATCAAGATTCTGAGTCTTGGCCTTCCTTGCTCAGGACCTCACTTACTTCTAAAACCCTGAGTCTCAGGGCTGCTTCTCAGTCCCTCAACTTCCTTGTCATGCCATATGCCTGAACAGGCCCAAGAGACAGTGATTTGGGGCACCTCTTCTAAGCTCTTTTTCCTCATGGGCAAATGAGAATGCCACTGAGGTCATACTGGTACTGTCTGGTGCTTAAATTCTTCCATTCCTTCTTCTCTGGCTTAAGTCTCTAGAAGAGTCATGCCCTACCCTTCAGAAGAAGGATTGACATTGGGAGGACCCAGGGTCTAGGCCGAGTGTGTCTTAGCCAAGAAATCAGTAACTCTTCAGTCTTAGTTTCTTCAACTATAAAATGGAACAACAAGCCCAGTCCTGTCAACTGACATGATCGCTCCTCATGGAAGTGATTTGTAAACCAGAGTGCTGTTCATAAACACTTCCACGGCCCCGCAGAGGACTGCTGTGGGCGGAGGCTGGCAGGCGGCTAAGACTCTGACGAAGCTCCTTGGTACGTATGAGTCAGAGATGCTCCCTCACCTCCCACAGGCTTGCGGCTTTGCCCTCTGCCACCGCTGTTTTACAACAGCACAGAAAGAATGGATGGCTTGTGTTTTTCTTAGCCCTAAATATGAATGAATGCAAATACATTTTTTCCCCTCTTGTTTTCTACAGTCTGAAGTCCTTCTAAACCTGCTGATCTGGTGGGAAGAATTAGAGCCATCAACTGCTAGGACATTTTTAAGTTGCCCATGCCTTTTCCAGATGCCGCAGTAGAAAATACCTCTGTCACTGAATAATCATTCTCCCTCTGGCTGCTTTTCCACCTGGGGCATGGGAGGAGGCAGGCAGTGCAGTGGGAAGAGCTGCGTGGATACATGTTCTCCTTCAACCCCCTCTGAAATACAAAATAGCCCTGAAATTTTGGGTCCCTGATCTGATAGGGGAAGCAGTCCATGGTATCTCCAGCGGGTCCTTGCTCCGCATTTTAAACCCAGATATGATCCTTAGGAAACAGTCAGACAAACCCAGAATATGAACCATCTTCCATGGCAACTGGACTAGACTCGTGCAAAAAATAAATATCAGGGGGAAAAAGGGAAGAGGGAGGGTTCAGAGAGACTCTCCAAGAAAAAATGAAATTGAAGAGACAAGGTCAAATCTAATGAATAATCCTTGATTTAATTTTATAGAAAAAACTCCATTTCAAAAACACTTTTGGAACAATTGGAGAAATGGGAATATGGGTTATATATGTCTTTATGCAGTTATTGTGTATGATATGATGCAATTACTGCTCATTGGCTTAGGTGTAAAAATGGCATTGTGCTTAGAGAGGAGTTCATCTCTGTCCTTACAAGATATCTGCTGAGGTGTTTAGGAATGGCATCTGAAACCTGTTATTTGTTTCCAAATGCTTCAGCCAAAACAAACAAATAAATAAATATGAGCCAGGAAAAATAAATGTGACAACCTATTAATACCTAGTGAATCTAGATCAGTGATTCTGAAGTATCAGGATTTTGCCCTCTTCCCAGAATGCACGCGGCAATCTTCGGAGAGATTTGGTGGTTGTTCTCATGGTCTGGGTGAGTGGCTGGGGGGCTCCTCCCACCCAGGGAATGCCAGGGATACTGCCAACAACCTTATATATAGGGGACAGCCGCCAGCACAAAGACTCAGCAGGCCTAAATTCTAAGTACTGCCAAGATGGAGAAACCTTGGGTTTCTTGGGTATATGGGTGTTCACTGCAGCACCTTTCAACTTCTGTGTAGACATGAAAATTTTCAAAATAAGAAGCTGAGAATAAAATTAGCCCTAAAAATAACCAAGAGCTTGCTCACTTGTGTGCGCGCTCTCTCTCTCTCTCTCTCTCACACATACACACACACACACACACACACATGAACCTTTTCTACCATGCACCAGAGTTTCCCCTTCCATCCTATGTGTGCAAACACGGGCCATAACATGCCAAGCAATTTTTCAAGTCTTATCAGCTAACCATCTTTCGTTAATGCCACTGGGGATAGAAGTGAGTAAAATGCACACAAGATCAAAGTAAACATTATTCATTACTCTCTATTTGTCTCACTTTCATAACTATGAAACTAAAGGTCAGAATGTAATTGGATAAATATGTATTTGTTTATATGTATGCAAAGATTCTCTAGAAGGAATCTTTAATAACGTTAGTTACTTCTGGGGAAGAAGATAAGGTAGCTGGGGGATAGAGGTGGGAGGGAGACTTTTCCATTTATATCTTATTGTCGCTTTTGAATTTTGAACTTTGTGAATATGTAACTTATTCAAACAGCAAATTCAAATTATTTTTTAAGACACAATTAGCTCTATACACAGTAATACTGATTAGTTGCCAGACCGTATATCTTGAGTGTAGAAGGCATTTTCTAATCAATTTTGTCAGGCATATCAGTGTGATTATCAATGTTGTGACAAATAGGTTTGTTTATTTTGTAGTTTTTTGGGGTTTTTTGTATAGTGGGTTTTTTTTTTTTTTTTTAGAAAAAATTGGTTTATTTTACAGTGTGCTTTTATAGGCAGCAGCATATTTTAGGAAGAATGTCAAACTAGAAGCAAAAATACCTAAATTCTGGACTAGGCTTCAATAGTTACTTCAATAGTTACAATCCCTTTCCTGAGTCTGGGTGGTAAAAAAGAATATATATGGCCCTCTCCCACTCAGAAAATTCTCATTCTATCCATACATAATAAACATTTCTTGAAAATACAGCAAGAAAACAGAAGGAAGGAAAGAAGGGAGGAAGGCAAGCAACACTCCAGTGATGACAGCAATGAAGTAGGGCGGTCATGTCCTTCTCCTTCTGTGTATTACATCCCTTCAAGACCCTCCCTGGAGACTCAACAGTAAACATAAGCTTCCAAATTGCTTTGAGGGAGAGACAGAAAGATGATGATGAGAGACAAAGAAGACAAAGGAAGGAGATGGGGAAGGCGTGAACAGGTGGGGCACAAGGGATTTTTAGGTCAGTGAAAATACTCTGTAAGATACAATAATGATCGATATGTGTCATTATACATTTGTTCAAACCCGTAGAACGTACAGCCACAAGCAAGAATTCTAATGTCAACAATGGACTTTGAGTGATTATGATGTGTAGCTATACATTTACCCATTGTACCAAATGTCCCACTCTGGAGGAGGACATTCATAATGGGGGAGGCTATGCATGTGGGGATGGGGATACATGAGAAATCCCTGTATCTTCCTCTCAATCTTGCTGTAAACCTAAAACTGCCCTTAAAAAAGTCTTTTTTTTTTTAAAGGCAAAGGAACACACAGAGAGACAGAGAAGGTATCCAAAAAGAGCAGAGCAGGGCGGCGGTGGGTGGGTGGGGTAGATGGAGGAAGAAAAGAGGAGGAGGGTGGAGAGAGAAACCAAAGCTAAGAAAAAAACAGGGACTGACAGAATGAGACCAGGCTAATGGAACAGAATCAGAGAGAGACCAGACAGAGACAATGGGTCCAAGAAGGCAGAGCAAGAGAAACAGACATAGACAGATAGAGACTAAGGAAAGGGGAATGGGACATATGATTACCGGACAATACAATGCTACTATTTTAAGATGCGGTGGGATGAATGGTATGGTGCCACATGGTCACTTACGAAGCCACAACCGTCCTCGTCCAGGAAAGGGTGGGTCTGCAGCAAGGCATTGACCACATCATTGTACTGCTGGGTGCTGGGATACCTGATGAGTGCAACAAGGAGGACATGTTTCACCACAAACAGCCCACGTTCCTTCCTACAAGTTGAGTCCAAATTACACTCACTGTTCTTTAGATCCTTCTATATAACAACGTAGATATTCAAATATTGGACAACGTGAGGCTTATGACCAGTATGTCACTCAAAATCTGAAGGACACTGGATCCAAATGAGTTCTACTCTACTCGGAAAACGGACCCTCTCCCAAAGCAGCACGTCCGCCCTGGTATTACTCACAGTGAGCCTTCCAGATACTTAGTCATGTCGGCCTGGAGAAACTCAATGATCCTTATCCTCATGCTGTGATCGGGACACTTCTGTTCTGCTAACATGCATTTGACATCATAGGGAAACTCTGGTAAAACATAGGACTTAGTCCATTGCAATGCTTTTGTTCTTGCTAGAACATGTTTCACATTCCTTCTGCTAAATAAAAACACACAGAGAGTGAAATTCTATTTCAAAGAGAAGCAACTTGTGAATTCTCTACATCCTGAGAACTTACAATATCAACTACTTTCCTGAGGGCTACATATGGAATTCATCAATCCATCTTGCATCCATTCATCCATCCGCCAATGGTTGAGGGCTCATTAGGTATCTCTGTTTTCTTTCCCTTTGCACACACATAAATATTTGTAGTTCTGGAAAATGTGTCTTACTAAAATTGACCATGGAATAAAGCCTGAAGTTGGAAAGAAGATTGATTCATTCATCTTGAAGATGGAATAGATAATGCATAGCTCAAAACTGAACAAAAGGCCCAACTAAAAGGGAGTAAGTTCCAACTCAGCAAAGCAAATGAGGCACACAATTAAAGTCTCAGCACCTGATGGAGGAAATTCTTCTTACTGCTTTACTCTGTTAATGTTTATAGTGACATACAGGATCCACTTAATTTAGTTGGTCTTTGGCCATTTTAATAAGGTAAACTGAGTTTCTAAATTAAAAGTACATATCAGATACTAACATTCAGATGAAGTTTAGAAAGGACTACAGAAAACTATAGCCACAGAAAGCAAATCAAGCTGATCAGTGTTTGCCTGGGGCTGGAGATCGGAGCAGGGACTGACTGCAAAGGGGTGTGAGGGAATTATTCAGGGGGATGGAAGCATCCCAAAATGGACTGTGATGGGGGCTGCACACCTGTATAAATTTGCCAAAATCAACTGAGCTGTCTCTTTTAAATAGATGAATTTTATGTTATATAAATGATACCACAGTAAAGCTATTTATAGAATTAAACATTAGAAGGACTTGAAAACCTTAAAGTTAGTAACTGATCATCAAGTGTGTAAAAAGAAGAACCTATAGTAAAATTTCCTAGCAAGTTACCAGAGGCAACAGGCTTGTCTTGGAATGGAAACGAAGAAGCAGAGGCGAGCCAAGTGGAAGACAAGAGAAGGAGTTCCTGAATTAGCCCAAGTAGATTTCCTGAATTAGCCCAAGTAGTTTTATTTTCTGGCGCGCCCATGGAATCCTTTGTTGTCCAAACAAAATTCTGATGAGTTTTGAAAAGCCAGGCTTCCTTTAGAATTTGAGGTCATATATTATAAGAGGGCATGAGGCATAATGAAACATAGGCAATAAAGAAAGAAGAGAGAGCGCTCCCCTCCCTTTTCATGATAAGCTCTGTCTTTTATTTCCCCTTTGGCAGTTCTGTATCAGTGGGGAAAATATGTCCTGGCTAAAAGAACCACACGGATAATGTAATGCTTGATCCAATGAAGCAACCGGCAATTCCCAGATGAAATTCGTGCTTCAGCCCAATCTCCTTCCAGTATGTTTCTCTCATTTCATTCAATCTTTCGACCAGTTGTTATTGGAGGTCTACCTTATGCCATTTCATTTTCTACAATCCCAATTTCCTTTCCTATTGCATTAACTTCTTTCTTTCACCTGTGATCTATCCTTTACCCACTCAGAGCAGGGGTTTAAAGTAAGGCAAGTTTTGTTGGCTGTATTTTGTGCTTTCCCAATGATTCCAAAAGGTGCTATAACTGTGCAGGCGTTAAACTTGGTTTCCATACATCTTACCTCCTTTCCCTCCAGAAGTTTTTAGTGGCTAAATTAGCTGCATGATGCCTTTAGGCTTTGGAGGTTGCTATCTCTTACTGTCCTGCACCAGTGGGTAACTTCAGTATTTCCACGCCATCAGATAGGCCTTCATACAATGTTTACTTTCTTGTTCTATATATTTTCCTATATGTCACTTCTCCAAAATAAGGGTAGGGACAGTACAGGGACTATACATTATTTTTTTCAAACTCCCTAAATGTAGCTAGACACATACCAAGCTCTATCAAAGCTAGTTACTCCATCTATTCCATTTTCCCTTTAATAGCATCATTAGGCAAAATCAGAGGCACCAGTTTTTTTTCTTTAAATTAAAGCAATTCAACAAGGTATTCTGGAAGTGAGGGGAATACAAGTTACGCCAACGAAAACAAGTTCAAACAAATATTACGCAAGTAAAGGGACTCCCCAGAAATTAAAAATACACTCTAATTTGGAAGCAGATAACTGCACACACAATCATTTACCATCCCTCAAATGGTATTTGCATTGGATCAAAAAGAAATCTTTAACGGTGAGGTTAAGATTATTCATCTTATGTTAATTGAGGTACAGTTGAGCAGAACACCAATAGAAGTCACCCTAGAGCAAAGGCAGGGATCAGAAAGCAATCCCAAACCGAGGACACTAATATTTCGGTTCCCACCTCAGGGCCAGTGCTCTTCAACAAAATACCACAAAACAACAAACCACTGATCCAATGGATCTCAAGCCTGGGTATCCAGTAAAATCAACGGGAAAGCTTCTATGACAATATTAATGGCTAGTATTGATCCCAGTCTAACTGAACCAAAGTCTACTGGACTAAATACTCAGTTCGTAGGTAGAGTTAATATTTGTAATACAAAAACTTGTAATAAAGTTGATACATCTGATAAATGGCAGAGTCATTGTTGCAATATACATTAATTTTAAAAAATTTATGAGTTGAGGTTCTCATGAAAAATCTCGTTGGATTCTGAAACGTTGTCTAACTTTTTAAAATTTTTCTTATATTTTTTTAATTTTTAAAAAAGTTTTAAATTTATATACAATTTAACATGTTTGTTTCAGAAGTAGAATTTCATGATTCATCAGCTGCAATACAACACACAGTGCTCACTACTTCAATTAACGGTGAAAATTCATCTAATATTGCAGACGGTAGGGGGCTCGCCTCGGATAAGGAAGATGGCTCTAGTAAGAGAAGGTCAGATTGAGCTCCAGCTCTCGGGAAAGATTTCAACACACAGAAGACCAAGGTTGAGCCTTGGCAGTGAGCAGAAGACATCTATCTGTTACACGGGAGCAGAGACTTTCTTTTATCTCCAGCAAGATACTTTTGCTTTAATGGAGTTAGTGCACAATGACTGATGAAAGGATGAATGTGGTCAGCTGAAAAGAGTGGTTATCTGTGCACGGCTGAATTCAATTTGGTCTCAACAATATTGTTAACATTTCAGGGTTCCTCACTGCATTCGCTAGCCTGGAGAGACAACTCACCATCTACACTCCAAATATGTCCCTCCCATCATTCCCATCCTGCCTTTCCTTAATCTCTTGCACATTGATCTCTTTCCAGTCACTTCATAAGACTATATCCTCAAGAGTCAATGATGATTTCCTAATTTGCAAATCCAGGGCCTTTTAAGACTGGCCTTTTCCAAGACTTTTCTGACCACATTTAGCACAATTGACCACTTTTGCATATCTCCCTTCTTTATCGTTTTCTACACACTATTTTACTTGCCTCCTCTCTATCTCTCCAAGAACTCATTCGTTTTATTTGCTGACCTTTTTGTCCTTTATCCTCTGTGAGAGTTTGCACATGGCTTGGTCTTTGCCCTCTTAATCCTCAGTATTGATCTATGCTTTCTCCCTCCTACAGCTCACCCAACCCCCATGGCCTCAGCTCTGAGTTACATGTTGAAGGACTATAAATCATCCATAATATTCTCTTTTCCATGCTTTATCCTCCACCTCCAGCAATTTGTACATTATTCATTTCATAGTCAACATGTCTAAAATAATTTATAATCTTTTCATTTCAAAGCCACTTTTCCATTTGCTATGACTGAATTGTGTCTCCCCCACCCACATTCATATGTTGGAGCCCCCATCCCCAGTGAGACTGTAGTAGGAGATAGGACTTTTATAAAAATAATTAAGGTAAAATGAGCCCCTGATATACAGGATTTGTGTCTTTATAAGAAGCGACATCGGAGAGCACACTCTCTTTCTTCATCATATTGGCCATTTGCATGCCAGGAAGAAAGCTCTCACCAGAAACCAAATTGGCTGACACCTTGATCTTGGACTTTCCAGTCTCCAGAATGTAAGAAATCAGTTTGTTGAAAACACCCAGTCTTTTTTATTATGGCAGCTGAGCTGACCATTCCAATTTCCATGTGTCTTTCATTGTATCACTTTGTATCTCTTTAACAACTCAGACTTAACAGTTAAATGTCTTAATTCTTCACATCTGGGTGTCATGAAAATTTCTCTGTATCTTATCTCTTATATTTGCCTACTTCTCTCCATTGTTCAAGTTACTACATTTATCCAATCATTCATCACTCAAATGTGGACTACTTTGATAGTTAACTAGCAGAGTTCTGCTTCTGGAATGGCCTAATTAGCTCACAAAACATCACAAAACATTTTGTTTTTGTCACTGGACAAATTATCCTATGAATAATAGCTATTAGCATTGGACAACATACAAAAATAAACAACTAAGCAATAAAAAAATTATCCAAAGACACCAGAAAGTAGAAAAAGAGCAGGCAGATTCTGAAGAGAATCTGCACTTGGAAGAAAATAAAGACATAGAATGAGTTTCCATTTTATGACTTTTGGCCTGAAGGCTGGCCTCAGGAGGTGCTGCTCAAAACTCTAATAGAAAACCCGAGGTCTTTCTGGACTACTGAATTAGTGGACAGAATTTGGGCAATCTCTTCTCCGGAAAGAGAGAAGAGAATCGTAGAAAGGTGATAGCTAGCAAGAGGAACTACGAATTCTGTGAATAAGCTGTCCAAATCTTTGGCTGATCTAGAATTACACATGTGCATAGCCCAACTAAGAATAAGAGAACTAAACTTGGATTTGGGCTGATCCCCAAGACAATTTTTAGTTCAAGTCCAACCAATTTTGTTGCGTTGCAAAAACAAACTAACCAACACTCCACACTCTTAGAGTAAATAGTACAAAATCAAGAGTATCTACACTGTGATATTCACAATGTCTAAGATACAATCCAAAATTATGTAACATAAACAAACAAAAACCCCAGAGAAGTGTGACCCTTTCTCAAGATAAAAACATTTAATAGAGTGTGATGCTGAGATGATCCAGATGTCTATGAGGACTTT